GGGGGGGGGGGGGGTTAATTAAACTTGGACATGAGCAAAAGTAAATAACTGTGGATCCCTTTTGGCACAGAGTTTTCTTTCAGCTTTCATTTTATCAAATAATGCTTTCCACTAATTTCCACCCTGATCAGGTGTAAGGATTTAAAATGAGATTAAAACCCACGAATCTAGAGGGAAAATACCAGGTGATTCTGCAAGGCTGCTGGTGACCGGACCAGACTTGTCTTGCCTTCACACATAAAAAAGAACAATGTTTCTAGACAGATATAGACTGGGCTTAGGCAGTGGAGGAAAAAGCTTTGAAAAGACCATTTTCTTAAGAGGTGTTATCCTGTGAAAAGTCAAAACTTGCTCCATTTACTTTTAAGTAGCTGGAAGTTGAAAGCCTTTCTAGAACTATTTTACAACTAAGCACAGACTAAGATTTAAGAATTTTAATTAATCTGGATAATCAGCAATTCCTCCCCCAAGATGATTTCTTTATTTGGCAAGAATTTTCTTATTTTTAAACATTTTGAAATGGAAAAAAAAGTCATCATTTTAAAGTTGTCATTCCAGAATATCAATTTATCAAACAAAATCATTAGTTCCTCCCTCATCTAATTGTACCGCTGTGTTTCTCCTCACTTTAGCTCTGTGAATCAAGACCAATCTTCACTCATTTAAGTAAATTCTACAACCAAATCAAAGCTCACTTTGGAGTCAAGAGGGCAGTTTAATATCAAGAGTAGTGGTCTAGTTCTCGAATGCCATAACTATAAAAAAAAAATATTTAAAAAAGACAGCTCTTTGTATCATTCATCAATATAAATAATCTTAAGGAAGAGCACAATTACTACCCAACTGCATGATAATTAAATCTTTTTATATATAAACACAAGACATGCACAAACTTACATACAGCTCTGGCGAATTACTTTGTTTTTTAAGTCTGTATAATGATGACATTAACAAAAACATGTATTTCCTCTGGAAAATACACCACAAATATACTTTAAAAGTGTGCCACTCCGGAAGGGCTTTCTCAGCATTTCCTCTCAAAAATGCATCAATTTTGTATTGTTATTTTCTATTGTTAACAGCTTAATAAAACATAAACAAATAAACAAGCAAACAAATAAAAATAATGCTTTGCTCAAAATAGGTACAGCTGTTTTAGAATTGGTTCATGCATTCAGCTTGGTCATCTAATCCTTTCAGATAATGTAGAACAATTCCTCAACAAGTGTACACTGACACAGTCACAGGGTCATTTAATGAAGATAGGACAATTGAAACTAGCTTACAAATTGTATATTTCAGCTAAACTTTCTAAACATGAGTTTATGAAAATAGGTACTTGAAAGAGGTTTGAATGACTTTTATAGGTGCTAAGCACCCCAACCTCTGACTGGAAGCAACAGAGTAGAACTTCCAAAAACTAAAATAAACAAAAAAAAAAACCCACCAAATCAGGTAAATTTGATTTAAGTAGCTCACTTCAGGTCCTCTAGATTGTAATGCTTACGTTAAAATGTAAAATAAGTATTTATTGCATTTATACAAGCTTAGTTATGGAATTTTTAAAGACTTGAAATCTCTAAGCCTCTAGAATAGCCAATAGCTACACCATGTATTTTATGGTGGTGATGTATTTTATAGAACTGTGTATCCTACTACACACATTAGCTACTATTAAGAAGTCAAAAGTCATTAGTTGCAAAAATTGTTATTTGATACCATCAGTCATGAAGATTCTGTATACTTTAAGGCTTGGGTTACTTTTGGGTAGTTTGTTTGAAAGCATTTAGAATAGGAAATAATTTCTAGTCTCTCAGATATGACTGGATAGCAGCTAATATTATAATGAAAATAACAGAGGAAAATATTCTGTTAGTCAGAAAAAAAATCTAAGAGAATGCAATAGGTACACTCTAATAATGCAAGGCTACATAATTTGGAAGCCGGAATATCAGCATTCCTCTTCTGATCACCATTTCAATCCTTTAACATTTAGACTGGCATAGCCACACAAGAAACAAGCTTCTAGGAACAATGGTTGTAGAGTATCATTTAAGAGTTTTTTTTTCCATATTTGATTTCTTTGGCCACATAGGCTAAAAAATGTTTGAAGCTAAGGAACCTGAGCCTCAGCAGGCTAAATCTTTGCTTAACTTAAAATCCAGAAGAGGCTGATCCCTAGTTTGTAGAAGATTCTCACTCCTACTAATATCCAAAGGTTTAATAATAATTCTCATAATTGTTAGAAAGTTTTAATAGTGGAGAGAGATGTGGGAGGGGAGCAAGTGAAGCCACAGAACAAAATCAAAGATAAGTAGTAACTTCATTACAGTATGACAGGCACAAAGACACTGTGATGATGGGAATCAGTACAAATCCCCAAGAGATGCTAGCTGATCAGTTAATGTACTGATTTTTAGTTAAAGTTGACATTTTAACTTTAAGGTAAAAAGCTGTAATTCACAAATACAGATTGGCTTTATTTTAAATGGAGAGTGAAAGTACTGAATGCTAATAACATTCAAGTAGTTTCCAAAATCATAAAATATGTTCGAAG